GTGGGGTGGGGTGGGGTGGGGTGGGAGGGTCGTGCTTTGCTTCATGTCCCAGGCTTTGGCTAGGTTAGTTCCAAGAGAGCGGGCAGGAGGCCATGGTTCCTTCTGGCTCCTCCTTGTTAGCAGACCCCTAGTGGAGGTCAGATAGGCTTGGTGCTGGGAGACATGGGAATGGCAAAGCTCTGCATCTGTGATGTTTCTCTTGTGGCTTTATCGCACTCCTGCCCACAAGGCATCTCTGCTTGGTGGGGCTAAAGCAGAAGTCATGTCCCCACAGGCAGCAGACAGTGGGGCCTCTGGGGAGGCCTCTCTTCCTCTGAGGTAGGCAGCTCTGGCTGAGCACAGGATCAGTGTGTCCCGGGCTGCGCGCCAGCTCGTTTTGTTTGCCATTAGCACACATTAAAATGTTGTGACTTAGGCAGCCTGTGCCCACTGCTGAGTGGGCAGGAAACTGCGGTTGTTGCTCTGGTGCCAGCATCACTATGGTGAGGAACCAAGGCAGGCAGGAACCAGCATGTAGGAGGACAACTGCTTCTGCACCTGTCCCCAGCTCCTGGAGGGAACCCTGTTGTCAAGGCTGAAGGCCCACTCCGCCACCAGCACCCTCCACTCCCATGGCGTCCAACCCATTTCTCTCTCAGCACTCTGGGCTGAGCATTTGTCAAGGGCTTAATTCTTCCTGGGGTCTGTGATTTGATCCATCCCTCGTTGGTATGGGCCATGTATGTTTGTTACCCAGCCAGGGCTAAAGTGGCAGGGGTGGGTTTGTTCTTTTGCACACGGGATGTTATCACCAACCACACTGTACCTGATCCATAGCCCGCTTTCTGCTTGTATGTGCTTCATATCACAGTGACAGTGGGGAATAGCATTCAGATCCTCTTGCCCCAGAAACCCAGCCCATGCACATGAGCTGAAACACAATCTCCATCAACAACTAACAGTACAGAGCCTATGGCATACAACAGCAGCTCAGGCCTTGCTGGTCCCTGGCATGGGAGCCAGCTTGTTCTGGTGTTTTCTCACGCCTGTGAAGATTTGCCTCCGAGCAATGCTGACTGGAATGCCCTGAGCAGGAGGGCAGGGCCCTGGGGAAAGGTGATCTAAGTTATCTCATACTTTATAGGTAAGGGCTGCCTGAATACCATGTTAGTCCCCCAGTGTCACTTGCCCCCCACCCCTCAGGGTGCCTCCACCCCTGATCACAACAAAACCAGGCTTCTGCAGCTCATCATCAGCTCTTTACACATCCAGTGTGTGGGGCTGCTTTGCCCAGACAAAAATAGTTCTGTTACCCATTCCCTGGGATGGGGAGTGAGGTAGCCGTATTATTGGGAGGTAAGAGAAGCAAGTGTAGGCCCAGTGTATTACTCATGTTCTCCGTGCTATCTCAGCTTGAGGCCCCACAGGAAGAGTGAGGGCAGAACCTTGTTACTTGCCCCTGTTCACAAACCTCTGTATTGCGTTAGGTGCCAGGATGAGATGACTCCTCTGCCTCATGTGCTTTCACCTGGGCAAAGGAAGGTGAAACTGGTTTGGACAAGGACTAGCAAGGTCCATGAGGCCTTTATCTGGCACCATTCTGACCTGTTTCAGGTGGTGAAATCCAATCCCCTTTGCTGAACAAGTTACTCATGAGCTCAGCATCCAGCAGGGGATGAGAGGTCTGCAGGCCCTTTGACCCACCCTGCTTTGGTTGTTTCCGTCTGTGAACATGCCATGTTCAAGCCCTTTATTTTTATAGCCATGCAGCTCTCTGACTCCTTAGCCACCTGGATCAGCTTTCCACACTAGCCAGGTGTGCAAGAGAATAGATGCAGGCAGAGCACATAGTGGGAGGAATGAGAAATACTCTCAGAAAGCGCAAGAAACCTGTGGTGGTTGGGACATGATGTCCTGGCCCCATCTCCGCTATTTAGGAGAGTGCATTGATGACCCCCTGCTTCCTGTATGGCTAAAAACAGAACATGACACACCCCCCGCCCTTGCATTTCAATGGTATGACATCACAAGCCATTCTATAAACTCTTGCTGGTGTATTAGTTTGTCCCAGACTCTGTCCTTCCGTGTGCTTCCTTCTGAACATTAAATGTGAATGTTTGAAAGCTAGTAGGAATCCTTTTGACTGTAGATACTGCTGCAATTTTTCTTGTTTTTTTGGCGTGTCCTTTCAGATGATATATATATAAATATCTATACATAATATATATATTGGATTTGTTTTTTCCCCTCTGTTCTTTCTTTCTTGTAGCAATTGGTAACAAATGTGTGGTTTTACATTTAAGGTGGTCTGACTGTAATTTAATTTGGGGTTTGTTTTTGAAGTTTTTTTTCCTCCCCCTGCTGCCCCCCTCCCCCCACCTTTTCTGGTTCAGGTGAAATTTAATGAATTTCATACTTCTTCTCTGTATGAGGTGAGACCTTCTATTTTTGTCATTATGGTGGTTGATGCTCAGAAGTTGCATTGATGCCATATTTACAGATGACTACAAAATGTAAAACAACAACAAAAAATTGTTGATGTAGACAGGATTACTGTGTTGAAAACTAATAAAAATGTTAAGAACCTCCCTGCTTTGTGGGTATTTGTATCAGAGCTTGCGGAGACTGACTGCGTATGGTGTGGAAAAGCCTGGGTGCTCTTTGGAATTCCCTGGCTTGCTGTTGAGCAGGTCAGATGATATTATCACATTGGTCCTTTCTGGTTTTAAAAGCCATGAGCACCTTGCCATAGGACAGCTGTTGTTCACACCTGCCTGTGCAAAGGTGGTCAGTGCTAGCATGCTCACAATGGCTGTGAATTCACGTTTGATCTGTGCATGGAGGACTATGGCAATCCAGGCTCTCTGCCTAGCACATAATCAGCTAGAAAGGTCCAGGACAGCAGCAGGACAGCAGAAAGAGCAACTGGCAGAGCAAGCAGCACAGTCTTGTAAGCAAGGCTTGAAATCAGTGACCCTGTCTTCCACAGGAGCCCTCGTGCTCACCTGGGGCCCATTTACTGATCAGCAAGTAAGCACCTGGTGTTTTGTCCCTGTGTTTCTAGGGGTGAAGTGGAAGCGAGTTGAGCTGGGGCCTTTCAGGGCAAACAGTCCATGTGCCCTCTGCCTCCTGAAGCAGTGGGACTGGACGCCCCGCTGCAGTCAGCCATTCCCAAAGGGCTGAGGCGACTGCCTCCGCAGCAGCACTCTGCCGCGTGCCAGAGCCACAGGGCTAGGAGCCAGGCCCTGTCTTAGCAGCGGGTGTGCCGCAACCAAGGCTGCGAGGGGAAGCAGTCACCTCCCACCCATTGCCTTGCTGCACCGCGGGCGCAGGGACAGATCACCTTTCCTTTTTTTAATGAAAATGTTTCGTGTTCCAATCCAAATCAATTCCAAACCCGTGAGTCAGTCCAGAACCAGAAGTGGCCCTGCGACCGGCAAACATCCTCCACCCCTCCTGGGGCTTCAGATGCGGCCCGGGGGCAGGGGGATCTGCGGCTCTGCGTCCTCCGCCCAGCCAGACTCGCACGTGCCGGCGCCGCCCTGGCTCGAGGCAGGTCAAGGTGGGCTTGGCCCCACCACCAGCGTATAATAAACGGGCCGGTCCTGAGCAAAGCTTGGCCTACATTTTGGGGGGGTTGCCTTTTTGGTAGGTGCCACAGATCAGTCCCACGCCTGCTCCAAGTACCATGCGGCCCCTCTCCCCTATCG